GCGATAGACCTACCTCCACGTGGTGCACCCTGGGCAACGTATATTCATACGGCAAAAAAGTCTATTAACTGGCAGTTGATTTCTCACTTCAAGCTACCATCACCTCACTCTATGTATATTCGACTATTTCCACAGTATTCACTACACCTTTGTTCTACCTTCGTGTTTGTCTCTTACATCTTTGAAACACTCTTCTGTTCCCCCCTCTCGACTTTTTCAATTTGATGTTCCTTCCCATCTGTGAAGTCTGAAGTCAACTAAAAGGCTAATGATAACCATCAAGACGCCTGCCATTTGATATAAATAAATATCTCTTTCAATTATCACCAATCAGTGACATTTATAATTTTGGATCAAGTTAGCAAACCATCTTCTTACAATTATAGATACATTCTCTGTTTGTTCTAATTTTCATTGATTTTCAAGGTCATAAATTCAATTTATGAATTTAAATTGATCTAAAAAAATCTCATCTTTCAAAAAAAATAAATAGATGTTTATAAAAGCAAATGTACTTTTTATACTTAAATCTTCACATGGGGGCATTCGAGTGCTTTATTGATAAATAAATAAATAAATTATCACTCCATATTATAGGTTATATGATTGGTTGAGAATGGAGTCAATAATTTTTTCATGCAAAGCAAAAGGTGCTATTGAACTCAAGTTTTTTTAAACCCGCTTTAATATGCAGATGCACTTTAATGCTGCGCTTCTCGTCAGTGTAATGAAATACTAAAACTTGCTAAATGCCAGCAAAACTTTGTTTCATACACACAAACAGTTATCTAACCACAGAACACATTCGCTAGCACACACACACATGTCCAATAATTCGCATTTTGGCGCCAAAAAACGTATTTCGTGTGTGGGCCCAGACGCAAGTACACGGGGTGGAGGTAGTCGTTACGCCACATTGCAGTAGAGTTCACTCTTCACTTCACACACAAAAAATTACGGTCGTTTACAGCTCGCGGATTCTTTCAGTTCACCCACCGCAGCAATAGAAAAGTAGTCCACACACCCACCCACCCACCATCCCACCCTCCCGCCCCTAAATTTGCATTGGTGGCAGGGACTGGAAGGGGCCGAACTAGTCCGTTTAAATTGGTTAATTTGGCCACAGTCTGCCACTTTGCCTCACCCCCCCCCCCCCCCCCCTCCCTCACTGCCCCCACCCCGCCCTCCCCCCTCCACATTTTTCACGGATTTCTTGTTACCTCACCTCTTTTCCGCTCCTTCCAACAAAGGAGGGCGCTTGTGTGCCTTTAAAGCGAATCATGCGTGAGATCCGCGCGAGTGTTACATTGGTGGCAACGGCCGCAGAGGAACGAATTAGGAGGGGGCAGGAGATGAGAGAGAGAGAGACAGAAGCGTTAGACCAAGGTTCATTACAACAGTTGCGGTAATAACTTTTCCGGATATTTCAGTTGCTTTGGCGCCATGGATGATAACGGGAACTCTAGAGGAATTAAAAAACGCTTTCTTGCAGTCAGTCTTCTACTTAGTATTCTTCAGAGTGGGCTGACATTAAATGTTCCTAGTGGACCCGCGGAAGCTCTTAAAAGTAAAAATCTGCCAAGAGTGGTTAAACAAGGAGGTTCGGTAGGGACGAAGAATTACGGTCACTTTGATGTACCGAATTACCTTCTGAGACTTCGTGAAAGACACAATAGTGAATGGTCAAATTTTGGTCAGGCGGAACATGGAAACGCTCCAAACTTGGGAATAATTACCTCAATTAGACACCACGGGATTGTGGGTAAGAAAATCAAAATAAAGTAGGATATATTTCAAAAAGCAAATACTTGATGAATTCCGCCTTATAACTTTTCATTCTTTTAAATCACTTTTTCAATGCAATGCTTATTTGCAAATAAGCCCAAATTTATTTTCCACTTATTCTAAGAGAGAATTGCTAAGTTCCCATTTGGCAAATTTTAGTTTTTTTCACTTCATACAACTTAGAAGTACTTTTAGCCATTAATTCATTTCATTTTATTCTAATTTTGTGTGTTTTATTTGTAAGATCAGCCACATATTTTTTCGAATGTTTGACGGTTTGACATTCTCGAGTCATTAATAATATGATTAGCTCAAGCAAACTTACATAGGATATTTCGTTTCCTGTTTATGATCAAACATACTGAGAGGTGTTTAAAATGTTCACGAAAAAATTTCCCCAAATGGGGATGTATCCATCAATTTCACCTAAATTATAAAAAGTACAAACTTTATTTACCAAATTTTTCAAATGTAGTACTCATTTTCTTAGGTTATGTGATATTATTTTTTGGACACAACTTTGTATTTATTACATAGTATTTCTATTTTGTAATAAGAGAAAGCCTATTTTAACAGTTTGAAATTTTTACTTCAATATGCTTTCATTTCTAAATATTATTAAAAATTTCAAATGTAATACATGTTTCTTTAGGTTTCGGACAAGTATTTGTATCAATTGCATAACAGTTAAAATCATTTAATAATAACGCTTACGATTTAATTTGTGATGATATACTTAATCTCGAAAATTCTTGAGCAATGACAAAGCAAATATTACGACTTCTCAGGATTTTAAACACGGACATTGAGAAGTTTCCTAAAATTAGAACTTATTTCTCCCTTTAAATCTAAAATTTTGTTAATTAAGCAGAAGAGTGCTAAAAGTTTGATTAGATATTCACAATCTTTATTCAACCTTTAGTTCGTAATCATTTAAATTGAAATGAATCGATCGAAACATTTGTTTAAATTAATGGTAACCTGTTTATTATATTATTGAAGCATTTTGATCTTGATATCATTGCATTACCAATTATAAAATGAAAGCATTTTGTACTTCCATTCTTAAAAGCCATTAGTAATAAGAGTATATCAATGAGAACTATTGACGTTAGTTAAAATTCATTTTATTGAGAGGTTCATCTACATTAACGCAAGTTGTCCGAAATCGCTTGAAAAATGAATAGTATTTCACTCAAAAACAGGTAAAAAATTTCTTATATAATGTAAAATACACCTTAGAAATAATGATAGTATTGGCTTAAAGTGATGATTTCAAACATTATCGTCGTGCACGCTAATTTAGCTTATATTGCATGGTATACAAACATATTTGTAAGACTAAATTGCTATCATATGTTCTTACCTCGAATCATTTATTTATTTCAAATGGCGGGCTTTATGAAATTTTTCATTAGCCCTTAAACTTTGACTTCAGCATCCCCATGGGTGAGGGGTACATTTATAGCAGTTAATTAATAGCGGTTCATTAGCTGTCTTCTTGCTTCCCAGTATCTCTGTGTTTCCGTCGTTGTCTTTAGTGCTGGACATCGAATCAGGTGGGTCTTCTCCATTTCCTCCTGTAGGTTACATAGGGAATCATAGATTAGATCAATAAAACTAATAAAGTTTTGGAACGAATTAGAGTGCATTAAATTATGAAATGCCTATTCGCCCTTAAATGCACATTTTAAATAAAGCTGGAAGTTTGATATATTCATTTGCACGTTTAATTACATTTGGCCAAATGACCTGCGTAAAGAGTTATAAGGATTACCATATATATATATATATATATATATATATATATTATCTATGTTGGATTACCAAAATTCTAAGTGCATTGAAGTGTGCAGATCTGAGGAGGTAAGACAAAAAGGCATTAGCATTTGTGGTCTTTTGATATATAATGTCAGAGCCTAGAATGGTGTCAGAAGAGACCGGATAGGTGGCGGATATTAATCGGCCTGGCGCCACTTAATGTCATTTGACCTTTCCCATCTATTTCCTGCTCCCAATTAATGAATTATTCTGACATTATAACCGAGAGGTAATATCAAAAATCAACAGTATGTCAGATTTGCCTTAGCGTTTTGCACACAAATTTCATATTTGCCAATAATAAATCCCTCCTCTAGAAAATCCTTATTAGATATTTAATAGATTTTTAAGTGGGAATGGTTGAAGTTTTCGTGTAAAGAGGGGGGGGGGGTAATTGATATTTTCTGATTGAGGAATATGCTAAATTTTCAAGAGAAGATTTTAACCTTGTAATTTGTTTTGTATGAATGATAAAAGAATGTAAAATGTTTTTTTTTGATAGAAGACCAAATTAACAATATATTATGACAAAGTTAGAATATGGTTTATTTGTCTGTGATTTCAAAATTAGTCAATACTTGTAATTAAAATAATGCCATGCAATTTATTTCTGAATATTACCGCTTAAAATTAGGGGAAAACCTTGCAAATAATTCTGATAAAAGCGGACTAAAAATTATTTAAAAGTTTTGAATCTGTTTACGAATTTATGGTTTTTGGCTTCAAGTTTTGCTTTGACTTAAATTAGCAAATCTCTTCATTAAATTATGCTAACTAATCATTCATTTTTAACACATTTTGAGATCTATCCATTTTTTGCATAATTGTTTTATATCAACATCAATATCAAGTAACTCAAGGTTGCATGCCTAGTCATGTTGAATAAATTTATTAATTAACGAACTGAAACATAGGTTTATGATGAATACTTTTATCGCTTTGCTTATTACAATATATGGTTCGTTCAGACCATTCTCTTTGCATTCTACTATATGATGCCAGTTCAATTTGCGACAAAACTTTTGAGAAGCCCAAACCTATTTTCGAATATTTTAATTTTGTTGATGATAATGCTGAAATATATAATAGTGACATTGTTCGTTAATCAGTACAATTAAAAGATGAAAATGTTCATCTGGTGTTAGGAATGAAGATACTCGATTCCACAAATATTCTCAACGAATAAAATATTATTTGAGATTGACCCATTTACTTACAATTTTAATGAAATAATTAAAGCCTTACCTATCACTTCAGAAGATAAGAAAATCCGTCCAAAATGGCAAGGCCAACAAAGTCTTGATTTTCGTCTGGCAACAATCTCGAAGAACGAAAAGTTGGTCGCAGGAAGTCTGCGCCTTCCAATACGGAGAGTGCAACCCCAAAACTCAACAATCCCTGTTAAGGTACAGATAATAGGTGCCGACAACGTGGTTGGAAGTGAAGTATTCGTGGAAGGGTCAAAAGAATCTTGGCTTAACATACCACTACCTCCAGAAACACTATATAGTCTTCTCAAGCGTAGACAGCTTCTTCGACTGATTGTATCTCTTGACAGCTCTCGAGTTATGTTCTCTGAAGCTGATCCACATGTACTTACCTTTCACAGAAACACAAAACGGAACGCTAAGTTAAATCGAATACGTCGTGATATAAAAATGCCTGAAACGATGGAAGGAAATGCATCGGAAGATTTAACTAAAAAAGTATATATATATATGTATACTTTAACATGCATAAAATTTTTTATATTCTCTAAAATAATGCTATTTTTTTACTAAATCAACACTTTAATTGAAAAAAAAACGCATTTTTGTAAGTAATATGCAAAATAGTACCAAACGAAAGTTCTCCGAAAACTACAAGTAATATAGCTTTGTAATAAATACAGTTGGAATATTAATTCCCATTTTCATCTCTTCATCATTAATCTAAAATTGTGTCAAAAAATGAATAATTTTATGAATTCTTATTTATTTAGTTTATGTAAACATGTTTATAAACATCTACAAACTGGAGATTGATCATATTATATAGGAGTTTGGTAGCATTCATAGCAATCTTGGTTAGGGGAAATTATGTGTTGTATTTTTAGAATAATTCGTTTTTGTATTTCAAATTATTGACATGTCCAATTGTTAATTGGTTTTAGCAAGGATTTTGATAGTTTTATCTTTTAAATAAACTTGATTGGCTAATCAGCAATGGGAAAGGGTTCATCAATGTTAACCACGTATTAAGAAATTTGTTCTGAATTATATATTTTATTCCTACTTATTTAATAAAAGTAGTTACAATTTTTAGAAAGGAAATAAACGTCGAGGAAAGAATAGAAAAGTTAAGAGTGATGCCAGCAATCGAGAAAAGCGAAGTCCTCAATACTTAATGAATAGGCGGTACATCGAGTCAACCTGCCAACGTCGTGATTTAATGGTCAATTTCAACTCAATCGGTTGGTCAAAGTGGGTTATAGCTCCGATGGCTTACAATGCAGGCTACTGCTATGGCAATTGCCCATTTCCTCTCTCTGCTCATTTCAATACTACGAATCATGCAATAATACTCCATTTAATGCATAATTTAGGAGTAGCGCATTCACAAATCAACTCGCCCTGTTGTACACCCTTGACATTTGGTCCACAATCCATACTCTTTTTCGATGGTGACGATGTTGTGCTGCAAGTTTATGAAGATATGATAGTGGAGTCCTGTGGATGTCGGTGATGAAAGGCCTCAAATTTTACTTTTTGTGTATTTTTAAAAAATCTATTTCATTACACCTTTTCTCGCCACTACCCCTTGCACATAACTCTACCACATGACTATATCTTTGTTAAATAAAATAGATGAGATGCAGCCACTGTCTCAATTTTTTGTCACAATACCGAAATGTTTGTTGTATTGCAGAGGAATTGCGAAGTCAAATTGATATGCTGGGCTATAAGGCTAAGAGGCTACACGTCTGCACAGTCAAGCAATGATTAATAGGCATTGCAATGCTTCTTATCCAATAAGCGAATTGGACAGAAAATGGAAGTAAATTAACGTATTTATTCCAAAAAAGGAAAAAGTAGAGTTTTATTCTGCTAACTTTGATTTGAGTAGTATCATGTACGTTACTAGAAACTTTGAATTGGTTCTAAATTTCTGTCACAGAGGATCTTGCATATCGGTTCCAAGGCATCGAAAGGCGATCGTCAAAATGTACCTCGTTACGAAAGAAAAAAATGTTTTATGAAAGGAACAGGGCAAAACGGAGAAGTAGGATATGAAGCAAGGAGAGCTTTAAGGGATTCAAGGCATTACTGCCGCCTTAATGAATTAAAATAATAAAAACAGAAGACGAAAGCATAAATTATGCTTCTCTTGACTAAGGTGTCGATGCAATACTTCGCGCATTAAAAAAGTGATGGGATTGACACATGTCTTGATGAAATACTCCTTTTCCAACCCCCCCCCCCTCCACATTTCAGTAAGTTTCTGGAACATTTCATAAATTGCCAAATTCAGAAATGATATTAAAATTCAACTGTGTTGTATATGCTTAATTTAATATTTTTGCAAACCAAGTAATTAAGCATTTTAAAAAATATTATCAGGGCATATTTATTTAAATGTGTTATGAAAGTCAGTTAAATTTGTCTTCATATATATTGCATCATTTCTTGTAAGTCGATATTTGCAACCAAAAAGCAGAACTTGCATAAACGTTCTCGTCATTTTTATGCAAATCAAATACTTCCAGTCGAAATAGTAAAAAATTATTATTCTTCTTTGCTCGAGGAAAAAACGCAATTCTGAGAATGAGAACACACCTAGAAACTCTGGCAACATATTTAAAATTGGATTGTTAGTAATGCACTAGTTTAGCCATAATTAGAACAAAATTTCGCCTCTGTTGTTAACTTTCTCCAAAGTAGATTTTTGGATTTAATGATTGAGCTGAGGCCAACTTTCGCGCATGCAAATATAAGTTCCGATGTTCATTAGCGGGATGATAAACTGCAATTGTTGGTAATTGTTAACCAAGAAGGGTCTTCGATATTACTCTTTACTACATCTGCTGGACCATTATTATGAAAATGGAATTTTATCACCGGTATTTCTCACACCCCCTCACTTTGGTTGCATTCTGTTCAAACCATTTAAGTCAACCTTATCTTTAAATATTGACCTTCATATTTATCAAAAGTGAGTTTTTTCATTACTTATTTCTATAGTCTTACTTGCCGGCGTGTTGGAGTAAATATAGTGTAATGGACCCACTTACCTTAAAAAAAAGTGATAGTTATACTCTTTTATGAGACATATTTACTCATCAAAAGAATTTCTGTGCTCATTTTCTGCAATGGTTTGGTGAATAAAACTGAATAAGTTATACTTGCAAAATGCTCCAAAATAAGATTAAGGGAAAATCGATGCAACAAAATCTTGCAGGGATAGATAATTTAGAATAGAAAGTAATATTTGAATGATTTTCCTTAAGAAATCCATGATATTGTAATCTATATTATTTCTATAGCTTGCTTATTGGGTAGAATAACTTTCATGTGCTCCAAGAAACTTATTTATAAATGCGTTTTTTTGATACAAATGAACTCATTTCGCACTGTGGAGTTTTATCGTTAATTAGTGCCATTCAACGGTAATTTTTAAAATTCGTCTTAGCAAATCGATACCGGCAAAGTCGTCTACCATGAAGGCAATTTGATTAAATTGTGGTATTTTAAATTTCTTCCATGGTCTAAATAGTATTTCTTTGTAAATAGATATCTACTAGTAAAAATATGACAAAACTGAAAGGTATAAGAATCTTGGATGAAATAAATTAAAAAAAAACAGCCCAAAAATTTCCGTCTCAAATAACTTATAATGTTAGCCGAGAATATCTGCGAATTTAACATCTGCCAACTGTGAATGCGTGTTTAATCACGTGCTTCTATGCGGCTCCATAGTTGCATGTGAAGCTAAAGGTTTTGTCTACTTCAAAAAATACTTGGATATCAGTGGTGCCTTGCCAATGCGGGTGCGTACATAGAAAATTTTCTGTATGCTTCCTTGATCATTCAATTTTCAGTTCTTTTTCCTGAATACCAGGCCTTTCCTCGCATTTTTGAGATAGTACATTAAATTTTGGATTTCAATCTACCCTCAAATTGTTGTTTTCTTGTTGGCAGTATGGATATCCCTGACCGTTATATTAATAATTTTGTCAACTTTAGACTTGAACCATGGCCTTCGGTTCCAGTGCTCGAATATTTATTTATTTATATCAAATGCCAGGGGTTCTGATAGTTATCATCAGCCCTTTAGTTGACTTCAGGCTTCACAGAGGGGAGGAAACATCAATATGAAAAAAGTCGAGAGTGGGGGGGGGGAGGGAGGTGAACAGAAGAGTGTTTCAAAGATGCAAAAGAGACAGACACGAAGGTAGAAAAAAGGTGAGGTGATAACTGTGAAAGAGGTTGAATATGACATACAGTGAAGTCATGGTAGTCTGAAGGCAGAAGTCAACTGCCAGTTGATAGACTTTTTGCCGTATGAGTATACGTTACCCAGGGTGCACCACATGGAGGTAAGTCTATTGCTCGAATATAATGAGGTTGATCGTTAAACTACCTCAGTTTATAATTCTCCATTTATAACTAATGTTAGTTTTGAAATTTTTGCAAAATAACGAGGGTGAAAGAAATTGAGTTGTTAATTGTTTTAAATATACATTTTATTTGATTTATTTGACAACGTTCCAAATCGGCTAACTTGAATAAAGCATCCACTTTAATGTTAAAAGTTAAAAATAGCTCAGAAGAAGAAATTTCACTTTTTTATAAGAATTGAGGCAGAAATTCAGATGCAGTAAGTAAAATTTATAATCTTTTCAGAGTGCAAAACTCTTTGAAGGTCAAACTTCGGTCACCATCATCATCAGCAGATTTGACAATGCTCTCTATTCTATCTTTCGAGAGCTCGCATCCTGATTTGAGTAAGCCTTGGTACATTTCGTCAATTGTGAGTTTTCCTGATTTGTCAACATCCATTTCATTAAACGTCGCCTGCCAATGCTCAATCCTACGAAAATTGCAAGAAATAATTCTCTTAGAATTGGTGAGGTCTAAACAAAAATTACTTTGCGTCTAAATTTTAAAATAACACGAACTAACGCCCTCATATATTAGCTAATCAATGTGTCAGAACAAAAATACAATTAAAATGTCACTGCAAATTTGTGATAGTCTGAAATTTTGACAACTTTTATACACCAACCTCTCTCATTGAACATATTTTGGTATATTTTTCTGAATTTTTTTCGGAGGCACCTGTTTCCTTGTGGTCGCAAGAGTTTTAATATTCCCCATAGAAAATGAAGGTCATTCTTAGTTACCTCGATCTAACATCCCAAAAAGAATTAATTAAAATATTAAATTATTCCAAAAATAAATACTATCTAAAATTAAATCTAGTAAAAATTGCTTCCACTTTGTTGCAGTGTAATTATTTATTAAACGAAACAAGAATGCCTGAATAAGACAGCCAAACAAAAATTCGGGTGGATTAGAAATTAAAATTAAAATGGAAGATTTTGCATCCGCCATAAATGTAAAAGAATATTTACTTTCAACAATTCATTTAGCTAATGAAAATTTCTGTTTGTGCTTGGTCCAATGTTTAAGTGAACCAAGTTGCTATGCTCAGTGTCTCAAATGAATAGACTGAGCGATGAAATCTGAGCAATAATGCACAAAGCTTAATGAAAAACATCTGAATTCGACATGCTGAAAGACTAAGTCATTGTTAATGACTGGTTTGACTTATACATATTAAATAATTGTATTAACGTATTCCTAAGTAATCAGTTTAAAACTCCTCACATTGAGTTAACCCTGCTTATGAAATTTTGAAAAGTTCAAATTTTAGCCATTTAGTGTCCACTTTGCTAACTGTAAACAGACACATATCACGCGAGATTCCACTACTTTAGGTAACAACGTCATTTTTAAGATTTACTTACGTAGTTGGTTCTACGGGCTTTAGACCAAGGGCTCTTTCATATTCATCCAATGTCACCTTGTCGTCTCCATTATTATCAAAAAGGTGAAGAAATTCCTACAATTAATAAGAGGAGCTTTGAAAAATCGATTATAGCATTTACTTTGCCTTAAAAATAGCCTTTCAAATTGATGAAACAAAATCAAAATTAAAAATGCAAAGCCCAATAAAATTAAGATGCCTATTTTCCTTAATATGTGGAATAAATTCATATAATTTCTGTTTTAAACACAAATACTTACATTAACTTTTTCTGGAGGTAGTCTTGAAGATTCCACGCATTTCCTTATTTCATCTTTTGATAAGGCTTTATCACCATTGACATCCATATCACTAAACTTCTTTAAAAGAACGTATCTCTGTTCTTCGGTATACTGTGGCATGGTTAAAGCGTAGTAGTATTACAAAACGAAATGGTAATGTAAAAGCTTTTGTTTCACCTTGCACTCCTCTTGAGTTTTTTTTAATAACCCACAACATTTGACCTTGAGGCATGGGCTTGCTTGAGTGTTTATCTAGTCAAATTCTGATTTTACAATTCTATGCAACCTGATGCAACCTTATTGGATTTCAAAGTAACTAAGACCTCTTACACCCTATTTTAATATTATGAAGATATTTGGCGAATATGCGTGTTTCATTTGAGATCTTGAATAAGAAAATAGATTATCAACATTGATAAGAAACTAATTCCCTTCAAGATGATATAAATGTAAGTGTGCATATTCAACAACAACATTTTCAACTCAGCATTGATGATATATTGCGTTAAGGCGTAGTATAGAAACTGACAGTCATCAGCTTCTGATGAGTTGCAGTACACTTTTTCAACGCTGACATCATATTGCTACTCTCATCACGTGTCGCAAATTAGTAAGTTAACGTCATATCAAATACAAATCCGATGCACAATATTGAATTTTGTGGATGTAAGTTTCTAGCTACTTTATGAAAATTGATCTTTTTAGCTCAACAAAGCCGCGTTGGTATAAAATCTAATATTAATAAACCATTTAAGCTCTACACTATTAAAATTGCGTTTGATCATGTTGCATGTTTCGTGAGTATCGAGAGGCAACAAACTCTCGAAACCCGATTTTGTAGACACTCTCTGGGGAACAGTGTTTTCATTCCGAAATCTCTTCTATTGCCCCGTATAAGGTGATTAAAAAATAAATTGCGCTGCCACAATAACTCGTACAATGTTTCTTTTATGAGTTCTACGCAAGATTTAGGCGAGCAAGTAATTGAAGGAGAAATTTAAAAAGGTGAAGTATTCATTAATTACAATACATATAGTGAGCTAAATTTCAGAATGCTACTTCATGCACTAATTTACTTTTATTTTTGTATAAATGTCCTAATATATGCCACTGACGTTTGAAATTTTAACCAAGAGTAAAACGAGTTTATACATGTTGAGCATGAGTTTAAGGTTATACCTGCCTGGCATGATTATCGTTCATTAATTACGATTTATTGCCAAATTGGAATGTGAGCGAAAATCACTCCGTATCTACCAATTATAGACTTTGATTTTTAATTTTTAAACTGACTTGTCAGGCACCTTTACTCATGTTTTCCTACAACACTAAGTTCACTTTTACCTTGAATATGCACTTTTGTTTTCAACTTTTTTGTCATTTAAAACACATTGAGGTCAAAAATGTATGAAATATCCTTACTTTTACGATATTTATACTATTTATTTGAAATACTATTGATATTCCTATTGGGAATGATAATGCCCACTCAACTCTATATACCAAGTTTAATATATCTAGACTTGTCTTATCTACCCGTTTATTTTTAACTTTAAAATAATTTCGAAAAGATATGACCAAATTTTCAATCAAATAGTTATTGAACTGTGAAAATTACGGTTATCAAGTAGGTTAGAATCTCATCAAGTGTGTAGCGGATTGCTACGCTAGTAAAGCCTGACCGACTCAGAAATCTCTATGGCGGATTCTCCAACATCTAGCTAGATTCCCAGAACAAGCTAAGCTATAGCCCAGCTATAAGGGAAACAGACGCGTAGCACGGTATATGTTTATTCGGTACGTATATTGATAGCGAAGTGGGTTCTTTGGCAAAGCGATTAGTTATCAGATAACTCTAGCATAATTCGCATGAACATTAATAGCTAAATATTTCTGAGTAATATTCTATAGCAGGATTTCTATTTGATCATTGATGAAGTGTCCCACAAGTGAGTTAAGTTAAATCGATATTAGGATATATTAATATTGAAACGTACATTGCACAATTGGGGTATGCGATAGACATACCTCCACGTGAATCACTCTGGGCAACGTATACTCATACGACAAGAAAGTGCATACACCGGCAGTTGACTTCTCATTTCAAATTACAATTACCCCACTGTATGTCATATTCGACCACTTCCATAGTACACATCTTCATTTTTTCTTTATGCTGTCTGTCTATTACATCTGTAAATCCCACTTCTGTTTCCCCCTTCGAATTTTTCCCACTTTGGTGATCCTCTTCTCCGTAATGCACACAGTCAACTGTCAAAATGCCTGCCATTTGAAATAAATAAGTTATTACGCAATTAATACTAACTTTTGGATCTCTTGATCAAATGATAATTCACGGGTTTTCGATCCAAAAATATATTCTAAATTTTAATCTCATGTTTATTATTCCGCATATATATACATATTAGGGTGGCAACTCAGTCATTGCCGATTTCAAATAAGAAGGCAAATTCGGAATTATTGTTTAAAAATATAACTTTATTCAATTAGATATTGGCCGTTCTTGTCGATGATCTTTTCCCATCGTTCTGGCAGAGTAAAAATTCCCCGTTCGTAAAATGTCTGGTCTTTGCTATTACAAAACTGAATTAGGTGTGATCCGACATCATCCGCGTTGTTAAAAATTTTACCATTTAAAGAGTTTTGCATGGAACGAAATAAATGGTAATCCGAAGGCGCAAGGTCAGGGCTATATGGTGGGTGTGACAAAACATCCCAACCCAGTTCCAATAATTTTTGCCGAGTAACCAAAGATGTGTGCGGGGGCCTTGCGTTATCATGATGGAAAACAACACCCTTCCGATTTGATAATGCCGGCCGCTTATCTTCAATTGCATCCTTCTTTCAGTTTTTCGAGTTCTTCAACATACACATTTGAATTTATCGTTTGGTTGTGCGGCATGAGTTCAAAATACAAAATTCCTTTGTGATCCCACCACACTGACAGCATAATCTCTTTTGGTGAATCTCTGCTTTTGATATCGTTTGGGCTGGTTGATCTTGCTTTACCCATGATCTCTTGCGAGTAACATTGTTGTAAACTATCCACTTTTCGTCGCCAGTAACTAGGTTCTTCAGAAATGGATCATTCTCATTGCGTTTCAGTAGCGGCGAATCACAGATGCTAATCCGTTGCGTTAAATGAATTTCCTTTAACTGGTGAGGGATCCATAAATCAAGTTACTTGACATAACCAAGGGTTTTTAATTTTTTTCAATGCATGTATGCGACACATTGAGCTTCTCTGCAATATCTCGTGTTGTGCTGTGACGATTTGAATCAATAATGGCCTTGATATGGATTTCATCCACTTCGACTGGGCGGCCAGATCGTTGTGAATTTGTCAGTGAAAAATCACCGGAAAGAAATCTTTCAAACCAATTTCGACACTGCCTTTCTTTTAAGGCGGGTTCATCTCCATATACGGCACATAACTTCTTTTGTACTTGCGATGCGTTCTTGCCTTTTCGGAAGTAATACAATAAAATGTGTGGGAAGTGCACGTCCTGTTCTTTCATTTTTAAATTGGGATAAAAGCAAAACTAAAGAACTAAACAACAAAATTTTTTACTAATACAGTAAGAAAAAATATAGGTTAGATGCTCTGGCCACGGTAACAAAACAAAAGAAAGTATAGGGTGAATCCGTCAACAAAAACGGCAATGACTTAGTTGCCAACCCAATATATATATATATATATATATATATATATACTTTTTTTGCGATTTCTTTAAGAACTGATATGAGTGAAAGAAGCTATAGTTTATTGGAAGTGGTTTGTAAAAGATTGAGGTATTTCCCTGATTTCTTTTGTCAATTGCCTTACACAATAAAGCAGTATGGAAGAAAATTAGATTGCCCAATCGAAAATAAAATACATCATTTCAAATCTGTCAAATATTAACCATATTAAAACGCATTTCCGCAACAATTTCTGCTTTATATCATGGTTCTAAGAAACATAGCAAAATACCTGATTCTATTGTGCTCATCAAATATTGATTAGTATATAATTGACAGGTTTAAATTCTCACACATTATCAAAGTTTGTTAATCTATCGAAATAAGTCTGACGTGGCTAGATATGATGTTAAATAGAGTAAGCAGAAAACAGAAAGCCTTTAAAACGGTGATTTAACTAGAACTGGACTATATATTGACTGCCAAATTAGAATACGGAAAGGATTTCAATAATAATAGGGGGCAGATCTGTTTGCAGTAAACAGAATATAGTTGGCAGAGATTTCTTAGAATAATTACAACAAAAATAGTGTGAAAATTCAAATTGGTGTTGAGGAGTTAATGGTCAACAGGAAAAAAGGTGAAACGCTTTGCGTTACGAATTTGAAATACCGAAATTGTATACAATGTACTGTTAATTAACGACAATTCCAGAAATCGAAAAGCTGTCCGATAATATCAACTCAAAGTGTAATAAAAAGAGATTTATTTTTTATAGTACGACAAAGGATTTTGTCAAATCCATAGATTAAACCAAGGAAAGTGAAATGAAGCTACGGCTTTAGGAGTTGTTTCAATCCAAAAATGCACACATTGAATTAGGTTTTTCTTAAATTGTGAATAAATGAAATACGTATATTGTCATTGAGTTCAAAATTATAGTATGAGGTGTATTTACATCTTAAATAGAACAATGAACAAACTATCACTAGGCACAAAAAGTACAAATCTGTTCAATGTAACTAGAATTTATGTTTGGAAAATTGGGGTGAGCGATAGACTTACCTCCACGTGGTGCACCCTGGGCAACGTATACTCATACGGCAAAAATTCTATTATTAACTGGCTTCTAATTACCATCACCCCACTGTATGTCATATTCGACTACTTCCGCAATGCTCATCTTACCTTTTCTCTGCCTTTATGCCTGTCACTTTTACATCTGTAAATCACTCTTTTGTATTTTACCCCTCGACTTTCTGTTACTTTGTTGTTCCACCTTCTCTCTGCGAAGCCTGAAGTCAGATAAAGGGCTAACAAAAACTATTAAAACGACTGCCATTTGAAATAAATAATATTTGAAAAATTTTTGGATACTTTCGGACTTGAACTATTACAAAGTAAGATTCACTGTTCTTCTCTGTTTACAACTTACTAATAAAACCAGTTCAAAATGTCCTGAAAAAAGGAAGTTTAACGTTCAAATTCCACACTCTCTTTATCTTCCTTCTCTATCTCATTTAAACCCATCATTAATAATTCCATTATTACTGACGTAATCAGGGTGAGATGAGATTTTCATATTTTCAGTCCTGTTTTCAATAGTAACTCCATTAACAAATAATCCAGAGGATTATAATTAGATTGAACTTAAGTGATCTTTAACACCTAGTTGTCTCAATCAATTTATTAACGTCGACTTTTCATTCTCTCCCGCAAATCAATACATTTATTTTCGGATCGTTTACTCACGTAACCAATGGAAATAACAAATTTGCAGACCTCTGAGTTTCAGGTGGTGCTTTCAACAAATCCATTTACTTTATCGTAAGGGGTTAGGGATGTGGGAGAGGGTGATTGTCCATAGTCTTAAAAATAGCGAGCTTTGGCTTACAATGAACAGAAAAAGACATCGCCCAATAATTGGTTCTCCATATTATTGCTGTTCATAATTAACTAATTGTTCCACAGGTGTTTTCCTTTTTAAAAAATTGCAATATGCATACACGAGCCTATCGTAGAATGTACTACCCTGCCTAACATGTATGGAAGCAAGGGGATTGACCAGTAACAACATTCCATCCCGATGCAAAATATAATTGAAATGTAACTCATGGAATGCTAACTAACTCCGCTTGAACTCTATGAAGTGAGATTTAAAAATGTACTTAAACTCATGTCAGTTCAATATAAATGTATATTTTTTAAATTATATTATGAATTCTATTATCCCAATAAATGGCCTTCAAGATTCAAAATGAAACATCAAATTGATATGTGTTTTATCGCATTTATTGTACAAATTGCGAACATTGAGTAAATTCGGACATTTACAAATGTTGCTCACTAATAGGAGAAAGTTCAGAGCCTCATTAAGGTGATGAATTCTTGAAAGGTGAGACTTCTATCTCCATCTTTGTCTACAGAGCTGATAATACTCTCCACCTCACTCCTTTTCATGCCACAGCCGGCATTCTTTAGACCCTCGTACAACTCATCCACGGTTAGCTTACCAGACTTGTCCTTATCCATTTCATCAAATGCCTCGCGCCAGTGTTCAGCCCTAAAATTTAGTGGAATAGAAACCATAAAAAAACAGTAGATTGAGATTGCGCATTTGGTTTTTTAGCAAACTGCCAATTAAATTTCATACACTCCACTTCGCCATTCCAACAGAATAATCAATAATTTCGATGAAGGATTTCCATATTCGCTTTAAATGTCTCAACAGAACAGCGTATGACACATTGAAAGTGTGCTTTGAAGAAAATAAGTATAAAGTTCAATGCATATACTTTAAGTAGAACTTTGAAAATAAGCTCTTCCTTTCATAGTTTTGGGTAGGTTTCAACATTTTCAACGCACGGTTATTTCAAGTCATATCTTAATGACTATCAAAACGTAGCCAGTTATGTCAATAACCAAACAAGCTGGATAATTCGGATTATTTAACTGAGTGGTGGAAGGCAAGTTCCATCAGAATCTCTCGGCTTTCTTAACCACTCTTGCTAGCATTTCAATTAGTGATATGAGTAGCCAATCACTTTCTTGAATTTCAGTTAACAAGAAGTGGTAGAGTAAATTACTCTAGAAAACCGTTGAGACATTGTATGGATCATTACCATTGTCTTGGTATTCTAAACTTATTTTATTGACAACATATGCACCAACAAAAACAAGTATAATTCTGAGTGTTTTAAAAATTCTCAACATATTGTTTCGATGTGCAATGTGACGATAGTGTATTTTATAGAGCTTCTTCATGTTCAGCCTCGAGGGTAATCAATGTCGACTTACGTGGTTTCAGGTATCGGCTTCAAACACAAAGCACGTTCGTATTCGTCCAAAGTAACATTGTCGTCCCCATCTTTGTCAAAGAGGTTCAAAAACTCCTATTAGTAGAATTTTAAAAAAATAATGACTTCAAATAAACACTGGCAGAACATTTTAAGCGATGAAATAGTTAAACTTAAAATATTCTGTTCTGTCTTACTTGATTACATTTAAGATAAAGTTTATGCAAACCGTAGGATGTTATTGCTTACACGAAAGATCCTGAATTATACACTTACTTCAATCTTCTCCGGTGGAAGGTGCGATTGCTCGCAACAGAGCCTGATTTCATCTTTTGATAAAGAATTATCGCCATTAACATCCATATTGTGAAATTTTTGCAGAAGTGCATATCTCTGCTCATTTGTGTATTTTGTCATCGTGGTATCGTGTGTATTTCTGCCTTAGTTTAACGATCTGCTAAATGTGCCAGGTCTCTTATGATGTGTTGGGGGTTGAAGCATGATTGTTTACATTCCTGATTGGTTAGTGCGTCATTAGTGTCACATCTAGCAAATCAGCAATTTAAGGAGTATATCTGACGCCCCCTCACCCCACCCCACCCCCCCAAATTCACTTAATGAGCTCACCAATAGAGACATATGCAATTATGTTTTTATGAGATGCTATCATCAGCACTCTTCACTGCAATATAAGAAGGTTCCAAATGCGAAGAATAGTGATTTGATCATAGCTCAGATGCATCAGTAATTTGGGAGTAAATTCCATTTACATCTACATTTTCACTCAATGCCCAAAGTATCTAACAGAACGCAGTTTCCACGCGTGAGTTTAGATAATCAAGGATAAATTTCTAGAGAGTTATTAACTCAGTTCGCTGTTTATCAATTAAAAGAGTCACTTTCTTTATTCAGAGAGTTCCACTCATATCCAAGTATCATAAAATAAGGCTTTTCTGCCATTTTGAAACATTCATCGGTTTTATAAATGGTGAAAAAGTAATGTAAGGCCTACAAAAAAAGTTAAAGATTAATTTTTCCCTTTTATTTTCTCAATTCTTTTGCCCAATTTAACCGGACATTTAGCATATCCTGTTGACAGGTAACCCATAGCGGTAAAACCGGCGATTCAACATCTTGAGAAAGTGAAAATAGTTTTCCGCGAAATAAAATAAGGTCCTTTAACCAAGTATGAGGGGCATTATAGAATTCCCAAAAGTGTCAACTACAGCTAACCTTTAAATTAAATTTCAATTTGGAAAATTTTGATACCGTTCATCTTCAGATTTATTTCCAAGAATACTTATAACGAGGATAGAAATCCATGTTTAGATAGTTTTTCCAAAGTTATATCTTTATCAATGGACTAATCAAGGCTATTTTAAACCGAAAAGTTATTCTCTAATATGTTTGTTTAAATTGAGTGGAGTCTTTGTGTTTTAATTTCCTTACGTGATAAGTTTAGTTCTTAAATATCGCGTTTTGGCCGGCGTATTATCGAATCTAGGAATTATGGTGCAAATGCTAGAATTTCCCACTTTGTCTTAGTCATTTTATTTCAAATTTTAATCTTACGTTCTCTGTCCTTCTCAGGTTATGTCAAGATCAATCAGAATAGAGAGTGATGGAATCACCAAATATTGATTAAGATATTCGTTACTTTTAGCATAAAAGACCTAAAGTTCCTTACTAAAGGAAGCAGCTTAAGATGCTCACAGTCAATGAGGCGCTAGTACTTGTCTGACACTGGAACAATATTTCAGTACATTATAAATTAGAAAATCTAAATCTACAGACGAACTCGTAATTTTGATGTCCAGACGCGCCAGGCTCTGTTTCATAAACTTATCAAAAATTCACCGAACTGATTCAGCCCTTCATATAGTTACTTTCAACTTACAGTTACCTTTAATGGTTCCTCCATGGGGCAAAATAATTGAAATGTATGTAATATTATTTATGGCATTTGAGTCTACTTATTTTAAATAGACTTTCAATTTTCGGTTTTCAAAAAATCAACATCAGGATGCTTTCTGGCAAGCAGGTCGAAAAAGGACAATTCTATTTCAAAATATTCGTTATCAGCATAAAATTAAAGATATTGGAGAAGGCTCATTAATTTGTTAATAATCATTTATTTTTTAGTAATCAATTTTGGAATTAGATTCTTCTTAGGATGATCTAATTCCAAAAATTCCTTTTATTTACAATTCACTTGAATATTACCGATATTCGCTAGCACGGCCAGCAATCGAGTCAACTTGAATTCTTTACTTAAAATATTTTATGAATTCATTCAATTCAATTTATTCGAAGATCCTATCACAACTCGAGCAAGAATGAGTAGAAGAGAGGGCTTAGGGATTTTGTAATTCAACTTTTTCAGCAATCAATGAATATACTTTTGCAGTCTCGTTCAATAATTCCTTTTTCCAATAATCGGTTTCATTAATGTTTTTTATTCATTCTATGCCGATCTTGAATCTGAAATACTTTTGTTATGGTGCATACGGGGAAGCGTATAAATATTAAAAGAGAGATTGCTATATTTCCTTCTTAGGCGTCTCCTTGAAATAGATTTAATATTCAAATATCACTATATTACTATCTAAAGATATTATATTGGTATTGATTTTGAGCTTTCAATGTTTAAATTAAATAATTGTGAGGCGCACAGTTGAGATAGAACTGGAGTTTTGAAACAAGATCTCAAGTGAATTCATTTTTACTTCAGCTATTTTAAATAAGTGTTCTGATGTAAGATAAAGTTTTAATAGGGTACATAGAGGCTTCATAAGGGGGTGTATATGAGAGAGTGAGATGAAAAGTTTATCTAATTAGTTATCTTGAGCCCACAATTTTGATATTTCTTTTCGATTCTAAAACCACTACTCAGGAGTTCTTTGAGAATATTCCATTAGAGCTGAGCTATAAAATCCGGGTTTAAAGACAAATTCTAACTATTCATCCCATTTTCTCAATCTCATATATTGAGTTCCAAGTTACTTTTATGGGCACTCGAAAATGTGTTCAAACCATAATCAATATTTGGATGACTGTACTTTACATCATTATTTTAATGTGGGATCAATTTCGATGATATATATTGCTATTATCGATTTTCATGTAAGGCATAACATCCGAAATGGTATAAATGAAGTTGTCTAAAATTGAACTCAGCAAAAGTGTACTTTAATTTATTGATGAAATTTATCATTTCCTCAACAATGAAAACATTTAAGCAGATAGGTTACTAAAATATAACTTTTCTCAATGCTTTGAGATTCTACCTTGTGCCTACGAATACTGTATAATTATGAAATTATTTATCCAAACTAATGAATAACCATGCACATGCCATAATGTTTCTCAGGCAACTAAATATCGTTTTACAAAGTTTTAAACAATTATTTTTCTTTCTACAGCCATTTCCTTGAATATTTAGAAATAATTAGGCGATATTATACTATGCATAATATAGCATAAAAGATGGAGTGATTTTTTCAATTTCAATTTTATTTTGCGGCATTTATTCGTAAATATATCTTACCCCCCCCCCTTTTATCTGCTCCCATTTTTAATTTCCCTGTTTGGTGAACTTTCTAGTCAAATCTCGCATTCGTAGGTTTGGCAAAAATTTCAATGAAGCGAATAAATACGAAAGGCACATAAAATCTATAATATATGCTCGTTACGTTCCAATTAAATATATAATCACTGTCGGCTACATTAGCTTGGTCTAGTCAATTGACGCAGTGAAATCAGCCTGACTTCCTGATTGATTCACTCTGCGATCAATTTTGAGCTTCATTTTGGATCGCACACGTTTTGTCTCAAAATAGTAGGTTGGCAAATAAGTCATTGCCGAATTCAAATAAGAGGGCAAATTCGGAATTTTTGTTTAAAAATATAACTTTATTCAATTAGATATTGGCCGTTCTTGTCGATGACCTTTTCCCATCGTTCTGGCAGAGTAAAAATTCCCCGTTCGTAAAATGTCTGGTCTTTGCTATTACAAAACTGAATTAGGTGTGATCCGACATCATCCGCGTTGTTAAAAATTTTACCATTTAAAGAGTTTTGCATGGAAGGAAACAAATGGTAATCCGAAGGCGCAAGGTGAGGGCTATATGGTGGGTGTGACAAAACAAAACAAAACATCCCAACCCAGTTCCAATAATTTTTGCCGAGTAACCAAAGAAGTGTGGGGCCTTGCGTTATCATGATGGAAAACAACACCCTTCCGATTTGATAATGCCGGCCGCTTATCTTCAATTGCATCCTTCAGTTTTTCGAGTTCTTCAACATACACATTTGAATTTATCGTTTGGTTGTGCGGCATGAGTTCAAAATACAAAATTCCCTTGTGATCCCACCACACTGACAGCATAATCTCTTTTGGTGAATCTCTGCTTTTGATATTGTTTGGGCTGGTTGATCTTGCTTTACCCATGATCTCTTGCGAGTAACATTGTTGTAAACTATCCACTTTTCGTCGCCAGTAACTAGGTTCTTCAGAAATGGATCATTCTCATTGCGTTTCAGTAGCGGCGAATCACAGATGCTAATCCGTTGCGT